GGGAGACATAATCCTCTAGCATGGTTCCTTAGTTTAAAGTGACGTGTAAGTAAACCTACCAAAAAACTGTTATCTCTACGGGGTATCTCAATGAGAATTTTGGATTTCCTTTTATCGGAACATAACCACATAACTACATATGTCGGTATATGGTTGAATCGTCCCATCTTTTACAGATAAGCCTGCTTTAAAATAAATTGAACTCAAATTATATTCGAAAAGTTGATTTGAATATATAGTTTCGAATATAGTTTCAACATTTTTTACTATTCACAGATGTTTTTTGAAGTAATATGCACAAATAATAAAAACATATCAAAAATAAAAACATAAAAATAAAAAAAATGAAAATAAATAAATATTAACTGCTAAATTTAATTCACGAACCATTTTTAACTATCTTGCGGACTACCGGTTGGGAGGAATCAGTGGATTTCAAGAATTTAAGAAATAACTAAATGTGGGAAATTAAAATTTGTGAAAAATTTTTTTTTTTTTAATGTATTAATGGAATTAATGGGTTTTTTTATTTGTTTACAACGATTGCATTATCTGCAACGCTGAATATTTATATTATTATGTAGGAAAATTTGATCGTTACAGTCTTAAATAGCAGAGTGCAATCAGAAAAAATTCAATGTAATAGATTATCTGTAATAGTACATAACATTTATAATGAAGTAATGTGAGTATTAATGGCAGTTCACTCTCTAAAACTAAATGTAAATTTCTTTCGCACTTTCAAGGCAAATGTTAAATATTTGTTCTTATAAGATTTTTATTGAGATGCATTAAATCATCGTAACGATTGATTTTAGGTATGAAGCATGTGCTTCAGGAGTCACTCAATTTCGATTAAGATACTTAAATAGGTTTCTTATTTATAATTTTTTTTAAATACCTAAAAACTAATTTTTACAAACATTCCTACTTAATCTTTTTTTACATTGTACGGTTTTTACGCCTACGCTACACTCAATTTTTCTCCAATAATGATAGCACATTGTTTATTATTATATATATTGATAAATAACATAAACTAACCAATTTCTAACACCAACCAGATTAGTTTTCATATATATTGCTTTTTATTCACAAATTATTTTTTTTTTTTCATATTGACTGCGAGCCTCTTCCACTTTTTATCCGTTTAAGCAACCGATTACTGTATACTGCCATTAGTATGTATATAAAAATAATAATATTTATTTTTTACATATTTTTGTAACAACATTCCCTCGCCGTAATTGAAATCCAAACGAGTTTCTAAACTTATGAAGTGCAATGGAAAAGCTTTAGTGCCCAACCTAATACCATGTTATAAACTATGTCAGACAAACTACAGATGAAGTCAATACGGTCGCAACTGGAACATACACGTACACACACACACACACATGCATATGTGCATGCCTAATAAATTTTTTTTTTGTATTTTTTTGTTTATATTGTTTATGGTGCGAAAATGTGAATTAAAAAGAAAATAGAACAAAAATACAGGGACATCACATGCAAATACAACAGATAAAAATTGCTGACTCAATGCAATACAATTTATATTGTAAATTTATAATATAATTTAGTTGATACTTTTTACTTGAAAAATGTGTAATTATCAAAAATGAATTTGTAATTTTACATATAAGGAACTAAAGCATATTATTTGACGCAATGATGGAAAATTAGGGAGAATTGTCTGTATATAAATTAATAAAAAGCAGTTGCAGTATTTTTTCTTAAATAAAGTCATTTCAGAAAACATTTTTGATTCAAAATTTTAAAGACGTTTATATATATTGCAGCAGTAACGTTTTGCTTTAAAACAACACCGGAAGCAAACTATAAAAATGATTGAGTAGTAGTTGTAGGAACGCGTTTCCACTGTTCTTTAAATATGTGATTTTTCATACAAATTACGATAATTTGTTTTTATGAATAGTACTAGCACTTTAAGTTATCTATTGATTATAATAACAGTATTATTATAAAATAAAACAGTTTGCACAAATTTATTAAACATTTAATTGGTTAATTTTTTAAAAAACGCTATCAATTATCTCGACAAATAAAAAGAAAATAAATAAAACATGTTTACTTACATTTCCTAACATGCAAGACGCTATGCACAAACTCACAAATGTATTTTTTAATTACTTTTATATTTTACATTTGTTTTTCATAGAAACAAATTGCACACACACTACTCGTGAAAGAAAATCTCACACATCCACCACATTAAACACTGATGGTTCGTTAAATTTAATATTAACATATTATTTCAACATTTTTCATGGGTGTTTTAACAGAATTCTAGAACGTATTCCTTTTTTCATTTATTGACAAAATGTTTACCGACACACCACATTTAACTGGGAGGACTGAAAAGCAACTAATTTTTTTCTGTTTATACGGAACTGCCATTTAAGAATATTTTTTTATTTTCCTTAAAATGCAGGGTTGTGTTTAAAGTCTTTTAAAACAAGTTTTACAATAGTAAAATTCTCTTCAAAGTGTTTTGTTTTCAAATCGAATGTTAAAAATTACATGCCCAAACACTATTTGTATCTGGGAAACTTGATTAGTTGATTATTATAGCTATTAAGGACAGTATTCAGTATTTTTATTAGCTTTAGTGGATTTCAGGTATGTGAATTATTATTTTTCACTCTATTATAAATTAATTACAGTTACAGTTTTTTCTCTACATTCAAATTTAAATATTTGGACAACTTTCAAAATATTTTCCTGGTTTCATTAAAGTCAACTGTCATTGATACTTATTTTAAAAAAATGTCACTTTGTCGTGATCTCAACTTGATCTTTGGCTTAAAATTTATCTTACGCATAGTTGCATTTGAAAAGCAACTGCTCAATCAAGAGGTAAGAATTTTTTTAAACATATCTTTTTTATATATAAAATATATAATTAATATACAAAAATATTAAAATAAGTTTATATATCATATAAAATAGCATATATTATTCAACAAAAAATATTTATTTCAAGTTAATAACAGATAGCAACAATTGAGATCTCACAAGTTTGATTTACAAATTTAATATTAATTGTGTTTAAGGTAAAACAAAAAAAAATCACCCGAAATGCATGCAGCACCGTCTGTGGGCACTGTGGGAGGAAAATTTTTTTCAATAAATAAGGTGAAGGAGGTTACATGGTAACCGCAGCCGGTTACTGCATACGAAAGCGCTCAACTTCACCCAATAGCTTAGGTAAGTGTTCAATAAATGAAATTTCTATTACATCATTACTTTTTTGTAATTAAAACCAAATAATCTTTTACGATAAATATTACGAGTATATGTTTTATTTAATAGTTAATGTTATGTTAACTACATTTTTTTTTATTTTAAAACAGAAAGAATCAGCAATGTATTGTGATTTTCAACGAGGCCCTCATCGTGGAATAACGAGTCAATAACGTCATATAGAATAACCTGTCAATAACGTATATAGAATTTTGGAGAATTTGTCTATTGACAACATCTTCGTATTAATTTCTGATAGTGATCCTCACCGTTACTGCCAACGTCGTCAATATTTTCGTCAACATCTTTGAAGTCAAAAAAGAACACACCTACAAAGAAAAGAAAAATCAATGATAACCGACTATATTTTTTATTTTTATTTTTATTTTTAAAAAATTTTATATTATTAAAATTATAAATGCAATAATAAAAATTTTTTATAAATTTTATAATTATATAAAATCTAATTATATGAAAAATATAAGTATTTTTTTTTTATTTTTATTTTTAATTTATAAGTTATTAGTGTTATTATTAGTTATTAGTTAAAATAAAACTTACTGAAAATTTGACTAAACATTGTCTTAATTCTTTTCTATTTGGATTGTGGTTATTGAAGCCCTCTGTTGTTATTGAAGCTCTCTGTCGTCTTCTCTGAACCGACATACGGATTTCATTCTTATCTAAAATAGCAATTCAGTAAAATTTTATTTATTTAATAATATTTACTGCTCGTACTTACCAGAAGTCCAGCACTTCCTTTGGTTTCTAGTTATTATTGAAGATTTTGTGATTTTAAATAATTTGTAATATTTTGTAAACCAGTGCATGTTCTTCTGTATAAGCAGAAACTGCCACTTTCATATTGTGAACAATATCACAAACATTATATATTAAATTATTTAAATTATCTGCGTTTTCCATGCTGATGTATTTTCTTCTAACAATATAACATTTAATATCAGCTGTTTGCAATTAATATGTAAACACAGAAAAGTTCTAAAATTAAAACTTTTTGACACATAAAAGCTCTTTCCCATTCCTTAAGTAACTCATGATAATGTAATAATAATATCATATCACAATTTTTGTTGTGGCGGGCGTTTCAGGTATTCCAGGATATGGAAACTACATAGATGGCATAATAATTTTAGCACCAATAAGTGAGCAAAGCATTAGAACAAATTTTAGACATATGCAATAGAATGCCATCAAATGCATCAAAGAAAAATGTTTCTTTTTAATAGACGAAATTGAATATGTAGATAGGAGAGTTAGGGCAGATGGTATACTTCCTGATAATTCGGGGTTAGTAACTATGACAGAATTAAAGCTACCTATTAATCTACAGCAGTTAGAAGCGTTTATGGGAAAAGTCACCTTCTATTGCAACTTTATCCCGAACTATTCACAGTTAGTTTCGCCATTTAATCAACTTCGCAGAAAAAACACACCATATAAGTG